GTAACAACAAAATCTCCAATGGAGACATTACTGGGCCCGCTCGAGCAAATCAATGAACAACGGGAGGACAGTGACAGGACAGTGAAAATGTTGGTGCATCTATTTTTATACCCAGGATCATGTAAAAATGTCTTGGGCGAGGGCCTGAGAGATAGAGGTCAGGTGCTTGCCCTTGGATGAGACTGACTCTGGTTCAAATCCCAGGCCCTGCATTTGATCCCCTGAACAAGGCCAGGGCTCATTCCTGAGCACAGAATCAAGAAAAGTCCCTGAGCACCACCTAGTGTGCCCCAACCTTCCAATTTCTTGGGTAGCAAGTGGACACTTAAGAAGCCCTGTTCTAAAGGACCATTTGGTCATGAGAGACAGGCATTGCCCTTTAAGGCATAGGTAAACTCTGCCCTCCCTTAAGGATGCTGCTCCATTTCCATCTGTTAGGGTAACAGAGACTCCTGTTTTATCATGATAAAAGCAAAAGAAGTGGGGCTGGAAGGTTAGCATAGAGGATAGGGTGTTTGCTTTGCAAGCAGCCCAGTCACAGCCACAGCCTACCCTGGTTAGAAAGAACCTGGTTCTATTCCAGCATTCCGTATGGTCCCCCAAGCGTCCCCAGGAGTAATTCCTGAATTCAGAGCCAGGAGTAATTCCTGTGCATCACCTGCATTGCTGGGTGTGACCCAAAAAGCAAAAAATTAAAAATAATAATTTAAAGAAAAGCAGAAGAAGTGAAATGACATCAGAAACAAAAACGCCGTAGCAGTGTTTGTGAAAGGATGACCTAGATGACCAGGAATCAGCTGAATTCTAACACAGGCATCATATTTATTAGGAATTTGAGTCCTCCACAGGAGTTGGAGCAATGAAGGTCATATAGCAAGTTGGTCTCCTGAGAGCAGAGTCTCCTGATCCGTCTGTACTGACTTCCGCTGTGGCACGGAGAGATTATTTTAATGTCTTTTGAATTAAACCTAAAATCATACAGTGCTGAAGAGAGCAGTGACAGTTCTAGACAACAGACACCTCCAGTCTCCTTAGTGATTTTGGTCAGGTTTGTAATCTGTGAGTTAATGTGCATGTCTGATGCACAATATAAAGTCAGACTTTGCAAGTTGGTTTTTATCTGATGAAGGTGGAGATTTTCCATTTGGGAGCCAACTGTTCACGTACAACTAAAACAGTTACCGGGCGTCTCACAGCATCTTCGCTGGTGTCCTGATTGGAATATTATGATCACAAAGAATGAACACACTTAAATGTTATCCTAAATTAGTTCTGATGAAGCCATGTAAAGTCACATAATTAGGGGGCAGATGGTACTGAAGGAACATTTCTAAACAACTTGCGTGAATTTATATGGTTCGATTCCAATCCCTTCCAAATGTTGCTAGGAAGAACATTTAGATATCATTTGGTTCAAGAACCGTGACAGTGTCAGGAAGGAGATAAAAAGATGGATGTCTTCTTCTAATCTTCCTGGATGAGGCCAGTAAATGCTAGGAAGGGTATTCTGGGAGTTTTGTTCTTTATTATATTGCTGTATTTTCTTTAATCTGCACTTGAGTTGCACAAGTTCCTTACCTTCCACTAATTAGCTTTGGAAGCGTGAACCGTATCAATCACATCCATCCACTTCATCAGGAAAGTTAGTATTTTCATAAAAAGCAGCGTTGTGTGGGGCCAGTGTCATTCATGCCTCCCTCCACAATTTGTTTGTTCAATGGAAAAAGGTGCCAGGCACAACATACTCATGTAGCTCAGAAACCATGTCTATGAAGAACTGGAAGCCCCCTCCCTCACCCCAACTTTGGCAGAGGAGAAGATGTAACTTATTTATATCTTTTCAAAGGTTCACCTGTAGTGGGGCGGGATACAGGGCACTATTCTTGAACCCCTGCAGTTGCCAGGCTCCTGACATCCTTTCTGGAGGCCTTCATGCAGTTCCCATTTCAGGAACAGACCAATCCACTCCCCTTTGCTAATCAGCTTGTCCTTGTCTCAGTAGTGAGTAAACCCCCCACCAGGCTAGGCCTTTCCCGTGATCTGCCTGGGACTGTGCATTGAGGCTCTTCTCCATGCTGTTCTTTCCTCCCGGACAGTTCCCCAAATAATAAGCTTAAGTGGGCGCTTTCTTTCTGGGGACAATAACAGGCACATTGTCCCCTCCTGAGCCAAGGGGAAAGGGTCATCAGGTGACAAAGGTAGAGCAGGATTTAGGCATTTTGGATGCTCAGGGTATTATTAAAAAAAGCTAATAGGCTGCAATTAGCCTTTGAACAGTCATCCATGACTTTCTTTTTCCACGTTCCCTGGTAGGGTCCTCTCTTTCATGGGGTGAACTCCTGAAAAGCTTTTTTTTTTTTTTGGTTTTGTTTAAGAAGGCTGAGGAAGGCATGGATTGAATGTGTCAGCCTTCTCATCCAGGATGGATTTCTGCCCTTTTGCGTTTGGCATTTCCTCTGCCTTTGCCCTTACTCAGCGAAGGTGCCGGATGTGAGACAGTTCGGTGACATGTGGGTGCTTTTGTTTCTCCAGGTACCTTCCAGGGGCTTTCATGAACCCTCGCTGACAATTTCAAGTGGTACCCAGTCTGTTTCCTTCTTTGAAGCAAAGCTGTACAAATCAGTATTTGAGATCTAAAGTGGTTTAAAAGATAAACTTGTAATTTTAGATAATGCTTTTAGGAGCTCTGATAAGATACAATCTCCCCAGCCTGCAGGACCCTCTCACACCCTTGGGACCAAGCTTTACATTTCCTTGTTTTAGTCCATCTCTGACCTAACACTCAGGTTTCCTCTAAACAGGAAGGGGGTGCCAAAGGAAAGGGGGTTTGCTTTTCATAGAAATGTTCCCATTTCAGGATACTTAACCCTATCGGGTTTGGTTGAATTTCAAAAAATCATCCTGTCCTTTTTTATTTTGAAAGCAGCCTAAATTAATCAGATTTGCTTATATCATATAGAATATTACTGGTACATTAGCTTCTAAGATACCATCCTATGAACTCATCTTCATTCTAAGATGCATGTGACATTTGGAGTAGATCCATGCAGACACTCCCCAGCCAGCTAAGTGCATCCTGGGGTTGGTGAAGGCCTTCATGTCCTCATCCCTGCCTGAGTGTCCAGTGTGAGTGTTTGCCTTATTAGTCTCAGAGGATTATTGTGAAGATGCAATCACGTAGATGAGGAGGCCCTTGGAAAAGGCAAAGTCACTAAAGGCAAAATCACTAAGATGGTGTGGGGATGAATTATAGGCATCTTGCAGTTCACTGTACTCACCTGTCTGTTTACAAAGCTGGTTTTTGTTTTGCAAGGAGGGGCAATAATACCTTTGATGAGAGCACTATGAAAAGTTTAATACAGTGTGAAAGTGCCTGGTTTCATTCCTTGCCCGTGGATACCAATATACAGAGAAGCACACGCAGGCTACAGGGTCTGCTAAAAGACCTCTGGCCTGTGAACTGCTAATGCTTGTTTATAGGGCAAGTGGGGTGAGAAGCGTGAAACAGGAAACCCTAATTTGGGGAGTCTCTTTGGTCGGACCAATATGATTCCTGCAGTTTGCTATTATTTCTGTTGCATGACAATCCTGCCCATCTCTGCTGGTGCAAAACTTGGGACTTATCAGGGCTGGAGCATTAATACAGTGGGGGCAAAGCTTGCATTGCTTGCAGCTGACCCAAGTTTGATGCCTAGGACACCTTGGGGTCCTTCAAGTGCATCAGGAGTGATCCCTTAGCACAGAGTTGGGAATAAGCCCTGAGCACTGCTGACTGTGCCCTCCCCCCCCCAAAAAAAAACAGACTAAACCAACCACCACAAAAAATCTTGGGAGTGATGTGAGTGGAAACTACATAGCCGGGAAGCCCAGTGGTCTCCAGGAAAGCTTTAGCCGGCTTAGTGTTTCTCACTCCTGCGAGTCTTGACCTACCTCATCCGTAATACTCTGAGAAAATACAGAGTGAGGGGGTTGGGAGATAGTTCAGTAGAACGCAGGCATGTTACTAAAGGGATCCCCCAAACTGAATGAAGCCCTGAAGACTCATGAGCACCACTGGGATCATGCTGGTGGCCCCCCATCACGGCTGAATCCACAGATTCAGCCCAAACTGCTTTGATGGTTTGTCAGTCTCATCAGGGAGTGGACCCAGTGCTTCAGAAGAACTAATTGGAAACCTCAGCCCATTAAAGGAAGTCCGAGAAGATGGTCCAAAGGATTGGAACACATGTGTTACATGCAGGGTTAGAACCTCAGCCCCTCAAATTTACCCAAGGTACCGCCAGGAGCAACTCCTAAGCATAGTTGGATAGACCTTTCCACATATCCGTCCCCCCCCCCAAAAAAAAACAACCCCCTAATGTGAAGTGCTACATTTTTTTGTCAGAGCCTTAAATAGACACATTCAATTCTGCTAATTTGCTCTAAAGGTTAGGAGCTGAAATATCAAGGGAGTTGATTTTCCTTTTATCTAGGTGATATCTATCAGCAGACTCTTGAGCAATGTGAACTTAAGCTTCATGGCTCCACTTACATAGGCATGGATTCTATCAAGCACTCATGTTAATTGCTCCAATTCATGGATGTGGAACCATATGGAATCATTGTTATAGAGGGTTCTCTTTGAGTGATGAATGAACTTTGCCCTCTGCTTATACTGGAAACCATGTTTACTACCAAGATATTTTCATAATCGTCAGTAGCATTCTTTTTGTTTGCTTGTTTGGGGGCCACACCTAGCATCGCCTTGGACTTTCTTCTGTCTATGATCAGGGATCACTCCTGGTAGGGCTCAGGGATCCACGTCGGGTGCAGGGGTAAGGCAAGTGCCTTCTCTGTTGTGGTCTCTCTCCAGCTCCTCCTCAATGGTCTTCACTGTGAAATTTGTATAGCACATTTTTCTGTCTTTTTTTGTGTCAGGGTAGCAAAGGCTTTATCTTATGGTATGTATTAAAATTCATTAAAGATAATTTTCCTTTCTTTTTACATTTTCTTATTAACAGACGGAGTAAATACAGTAAAGCAAAACAAGAGGCAGATGAAGAGAAACATTTGAACCAAGGTATCAAAAGTTGGATTAAAAGTAATTTCATTTTTTCAGAGCATGTCTCATTTTTTTCTGCTTATCTAAATATCATGTGGCTATTAGGATGTACGTATTATATTTCTTTTTTAAAATTGCCAATAAGTGTCCTTCAGGCATTTCAAGCTGAAATAGATGTGTCGGGATGTTTGAAATTGATATTAAAGATGGAGTTGGAGTAATTTGTTCAGATTCTTCTTTTTCCCTATTTTATTATCCATCTCCATATACCATGCAAAAGTATCATTATAGTTTGCAAATTTTTTTTCTTCTCTGTGATTGGGTGATAAACTAACTATATTTCTCATAAAGTAAAAACTTTAGAGAAGAAAAAAAAAGAAATGAATAGTTTGCTCTGCCACCATGCATATAAGCTATTAATATTTGTAGTGAATTGCAAAAATTTTAATGTTTCAAATGGGGTTGAAAATAAATGCGAATAATTTATTCTATAATGACTTAATAAAATAGAAGACTTGTACATGGGGCTTTCCAATACTACTGTCCAATAGAACTTTCCAGATTACGACAATATTCTCTTTCTGCATTATTCATTACTTTAGCAGATACATCACACATACTTGAAATGTGGTTGATGTGAATTGAACAGTAAATTTTAAGTTATATTTAACTTTGACACATTTACTTTTATTAGCAACATGTGATTGATAGCCATTGGACTGTAGCTGGGAGGTACATGGACAAGGGAATCCAGGGGTAAAAAGAATAATATTGAAAAAGATTTTCTTGGCAGAAATGTGAAAACATGATGAAAGAGAAGTGGTATCTGAAAATTTTATTTGTTCATTTTTCCTCCTTTTCTAAAAACCATAACTTTGGCATTTTCATATGATATATATCTTGGCGGGGGGAGGGAAATGGTTCTTTCTTTCTTTTTTTTTTTCTCCTTAAGATTAAGGCCAAAACTCACAGGCATGGAACAGCAAAAAGATAGGGACAGCAATTGTCTTGCTCTCTCGTAGTGTCCCCAAACCCAGGAGTTCCAGCAGAAAGATTTGAATGCTAGTAAAAACTCCCAGTAATTACTAACATATCTTGCCTCAGAATCTCTGCATTGCCTCAGAGCTCACATTCTGAATTTTGTCTGCAAGTGACTTTAGGGTCTGGCTGACTTGTGCAGTTTCTTTTTCTAGTGTTCAAGCCACTTACAGCCAGGCTCCATCCAACATTTTCCCTCGTGGCAGTTTTCATGTGTATTTCAGTATCTTTCCTCGTAGCATCTTTTTTTTCCAAAATAGAAAAATAGAATAAAATTGGATAACTAATAGTCTTTTTTTTTTTTTTTGGTTTACAAAATTGACCCAGCTAACACATGGTTAAAATTGTAAGAATCTATTTCATCCTATTCACCTCCAACACAGAGTCTTTACTCTCAAATCAGATAGCTGATATTACCCCTCATGTCCATTATTAAGTTTACTCTTACTTGGTTTAATTGGTCACATATTTAGTTGTAAGACTGACAGCTAGTTGATTTGGCCAGTTGAGAAGGAAATTTCCTATTGTTTTTCCTAAGAAAGAATAGCTGGGGATGGTAGTAAGACATCAGCAACAAATTGGGACAATATTCAGTGAACACATTCCACTCTCCCTCCATGGGATGGGTTGTTTTTAAAATTTTGTCCTTGAAGTGTGAAACATTCCAGGAAGTCAGTAGTACTGCAGCCTCTTAAGTAGCTAACAATTCTTCCTTTGCCCACAAATGAAAACCAGAGCAAGATTTTAAACACTTTCATATGCGTATGCTAAGTATTTTTCTTATGTTAAGAAAACTGTTTCTATGCTATGTATTTTTAGATCCAGACAAATTCATTGTATTACTAATTCTGGAAACAACCAACTCATTGTCTGCTTATTACTCAGGTGTGAGAACTTATGTGGATCCTTTTACTTACGAAGATCCCAACCAAGCTGTTCGAGAATTTGCCAAAGAAATTGATGCATCTTGCATTAAGATTGAGAAAGTCATAGGAGTTGGTAAGTGTCTTGGGGTCTGTCTCATAGGCTTATTTTCTCCCTGGAAATTCAACACATGGGAGTAAATTATTTAAATGTATGGGCGTACTTTGTGTCTCTATGTGTGTATATTTATATATAGGAAATTTCCCTGGTTTATGTAAAACATTAGCCATAGTGCATGGCTTGAAAGAAATTCTAAACAAATGTTAGCTATTACTCTTGACTGTATTTCCAGTCTAGAGAAGGTTCCTTTTCTCTCTTCTCCAGGTGAGTTTGGTGAAGTGTGTAGTGGACGGCTCAAGGTACCTGGCAAGAGAGAGATCTTTGTGGCCATCAAGACTCTAAAAGCTGGCTATACAGACAAGCAGAGGAGAGACTTCCTGAGTGAGGCCAGCATCATGGGACAGTTTGACCACCCGAATATAATTCACCTGGAAGGCGTTGTCACCAAATGTACGTGGGTCTCTCTCTTGACAAAGCTAAGGTAGAAGTTACTGGCAAATTAAACACACATTTTCTTTCCAGGGAAATGAAAGATGAAGTTGACCCACTGATTGCTAATGGGAGAAAATCAGTACAGGACAAGTCATTAATCTTGCAGTCAGCTCTAAGTGGGCCTCTGGTTTAGGCTGAGACTCTGTTGCCAAGGCAGCTTGGATGAGATGATAAAATAAAAGAAGAGTTCGGGACAGGATTAGGCCTCCACATCTTTCAAATCTTTGCTAGACCAAAGCGATCATCACAGGGTAGGCACAGCAGATGGCAGGCGAAATAAATTTTAAGTACTTTTCATATAAAACAAAAAATTCCCACCACTGCTTGTATTTAAAGCATCAGTTCCAGATGCAGGGAGGGAATCTTGGGAATCTTTATTATATTGGGGGATTTGCTTGTCTGATCTGCCTGATTTATGGCCGTCACAGTTCAACACCTATTTACAATAACACCTGGTTGAACCGTCCCTTTTTAGTCCATTAGCATTTGCTGATCCTGCGAACCGTGCTTCAGTTGAAATATGACACAGCGCAACAGATGCGTTTTGTGAAGCAAACCTTGAATGCCTCTGTGAGATGGGCAGGAAAAGATGTATAAAGTTTTGCATGGACAGGGCAGCAGAAGCAGGGACTTTTGAAGGTGGCTATGGTCCAGGAGCTTCAGTACCTGCTATAGTTACTCTCTGCCAAGCATCATGTAAGCCTGGGGCTCTGTCTGCATGCTGGCCAAGATGCCTCTTACTGGATTCAAGGTGCCTGGGCAAAGCATCCTTCACCAGATGTGCACACTGGTAGCTCCTGATGAACTAAAACTGTGTGATTTGGGGCAGAGCAGGAGGAGAAGGACACTAGCATTCAGGAAGTCTTTATTTAGTGTCATTGCTAGGTTCTTGGAATCTGGGACTTTAAGTACAATCAAGCCTTGGAATTAAGTTGCTTTCTTCAGATTTTTTTTCTCATCGATGTTATCCCAGAATGATATTGGAGACATGAGCTATTGAACTGCACAATGCAATGATGAACTGCATTATTAAAATATCTACTGTATGAAACCTTTAAGAAGAGAAAATGAGGTTACTAAAAAAAATTAGTAGCTAGGGCCAGGGAAGTAGCTCAAGGTCTGGAGCACTTGCTTTGCATGCTGAGGCTCCAGCTTCCATCCACAAATTATCCTGAGCACCACCTTGAGTGGTCACCAAAGACTGGGCCAGAAATAACCCCCTGAGCATCACTGAGTGTGTCTCCCAATAAAACTACAGTATGAAAATAGACACTTGACTCTTAAACAACACAGGATTTAGGGGCACCAATTAACTGCCATAAGTTTTGAGCTCTTCAGGGGTCTCTTGACTACAGAGGTGCCTAGGATTCTTGAGACACAGACTTCAGGACACCCCCAGGGTAGCAAAATCCGCGATCCCTCAAGTTCCTCATGTTAGCCCACTTATCGCAGGGTCCGCATCCTTTGAATCAAGCAGTTGGCTTCTGAGGGCAATATTGATTTCAGGAACTTTATTGAAGGGATCCCCACCCAAGGAGGACCAGATAGTACAGATCCATGAAATTTAAGTCAACTCCATAGTTTAGTTCAGACATTCGTTGGCTTTCACATCAGAATATGTGGGAAGTTTCCTGGACTACTTCTTTGGGGCTTTGATCCAGAAGGTGTGAGGCGATGAAGAAGCTTCTGCTTCTGTAGAACTCAAGGCTGGGCTGAAGTTTCAGTCCCAGGACATCCTCTGGAGACTCTGGGCTAGCAACCAAACTAGAGCCATTTCTTTGCTGTGAAAGCAGGTGTTTTCGACCAGTCACTTCATCTCCCCAGTGTTTTCTCCTCTGAGATTTTTATATTAAAAGTAGAACTTACCTTCTGAAATTATGTTGGATGCGATATTGAGCATGCTAAACATAATGCTTGGAATGTATATTTTTCAAATATCTTCCATGTTAGTGGACATTATTATGTGTTAAGAAATACATCATTCTGCATCTTCAGATTTTTTTTTTTTTAAAAAAGGAAGCCTGGTGCTAAGGATATGTAATTTTCCACCTCAGATGAAGGCTATAATTAGCATAGAATAGCTCCATTTGCTTTTAAAGATTAGTTTAACAGACAGGATATTTTTCTGTTGCCTGTGGCCTTTGGGGCTGCCCAGAGCCTTCCAGTCCTTTAATTAAAAGATAACATTCCCTTTAAATACTTCTGCAGGTCCATTTTCTCAAAAAGAGCCTCTGTTCGGCTGGGGGTGTTTTTCCTGTGCAGACAGTGATTTTCATAGCACCTCTGTCTAAGAGCGAAGAAACAGGGGATCTTTGTATTAAAGTCCCACCGTGCCTCTAAAACCTGTAGCTATTACAGCTGTAACTGTTATAAATGGCTGGGTGCATTTGCATAATGCAGTTGTCACTGAATTAAAATGATTTAAAGTTTCCACTAGAGGAACAGGGCCCCCCCTCCCCATCTCCTCACCCCACTGCCTCCCTGCCTATTCTGGGGATGAGCCCCCTCCCCTCTGTTCATGAGCCCCTTCTCTTGATAAAGCCGTCTGCCTATTGAGACATCCATCTTCATTTCCCTCACAGAGCTCCTAAAAGAGCCTGACAAATGGAAACTTTTCATAAACAAAGGAATGTCAGAAAATGATGAAGGTGTTGCCTAGCCCAGAGTGAGGAGGTGAGAGGGTGAAGAGATAGGATGGAAGAGCATGAGACTTCGTTACTCGAGTAACTTTCATCATTGACGGGGAGACCACAAATTCTCTTCATTCACCTCCACCAGGCCCTCGCCCCCTTTTGGACTTTCTATTCTCTGTTCTCCTCCTCTGAGGAACCTAATGAAATGGGAGCTGGTGTTAATGTACCGCGAAGAATGTCTCCCTTTCTCATAAGTTGACCAAGTAGTTTTTGATTGAGGCAAGTTAATTAGGACTCATTTAGACACCTTTGTTGGGTAGGAAGGCTGGGTCCCAGATGGAGAAGGTGAGTGCATTGGAGATCATGGTGCTTTCTGTTTCTGTGGCCAGAGGAAGGAAGGTTACAGGGTCCACCCTATCCCTTCACTAGGAAAGGCTGCCAGGGGGTTGTGACTCCTTTGATCTACACCAAGGTTCCTGGCTGTTCAGTCAGTTTTGATTCACCCCTTGAAAAGAAAATCTCCGTGGTCCCATGTTCAAAGCCAAAATATTCATTTGTGAAGGATTTCTCAGACAAGGCACCAGAATCCAATCAGAGGACAAGTTGATAGAGTGTCTTCCCAATCAGAGGACAGGTTGATTTCATTGGCATGTGAAGTGTTTGCTTTTCCAAATATTTGCCTCTGGAATGAAGACATGGCCCCTTTCTCTCATTCTAAGCAGTCTCTCTTTCTGCATGGTCTCTCAGTGGAAAGAAGATCTGTTTAGCATCATTTGGGGAACTTTTTTTTTTCTTGCTTTTTGCTTTTTGGGTCACACCCGGCGATGCTCAGGGGTTACTCCTGGCTCATGCACTCAGGAATTGCTCCTGGCAGTGCTCAGGGGACCATATGGGGTGCTGGGAATCGAACCTGTGTCAGTCATGTTGGCTGCATGCAAGGCAAACGCCCTACCCGCTGTGCTATCACTCCAGCCCCATGGGGAACTTTTTGATAGTGACATTCATACCCATTTTCATAGCTAAAAGTCTTAGTGTCACACCGGGTGTTATTTGGGGTTCTTTCCTAGAGGTGCTCAGGGGACCAAATTCTGGACTCCTGCATGCAAAACATGTCTTGCAGTTTTGAGCCACCTTCCTGATCGATAGGAAGGTGCCACATTCAACAGTTCTCAGGCCTTGTGCAAGTGATGAAGTATCCAACATATAGCTTCAGCTCTGCTCAGAAATGATCCTTAGCAGTGCTCAGGGCCCTGTCTGTGGTCCTGGGGATTTGAATCAGGACCAGTAGCATGTACAGCAAGCACATTAATTCCTGTACTATCTCTCTGGCCCTAGACATACCACATTATTTTTATTAATCAAATTAACATTTAACTTTCCTTTCAGAGAATCTTGTTCAGTCTCTAACCCTTTACACAGTGAAATGTTAAGGATTTAGGCCCTTTCCTATCTCTCCCCAGAATACCCTTTTAAATTGAAGAAGAGTTTCAGACTTGAGTTCATGGTGAGAGACTAAAAAATCGAAGACTGCTTATTTTCTGAGGGCTGCAGACAGGAAAGAAAAATAAGAGTATTGCTCCCCTTCTCCCCTTCTCTTTAAAATCATTGTGTTTCTTTTGTTCAAAGTGTGGGACAAGAATGTTCTAACAATGAACTCACATTACTGACTTAGAAGAAACAGGGTACTAACCTTTTGTTGTGATAATGTTTAGTAATGTTTGTTACTAAAAAAAAAATGGAAGTTAAAGGGTACAACTTCAATATGTTTATTTACAGATAGGAAAAGAGGAAAAAAATAATTCAAGAATGTTGGGGGTTTGGGGTTCTTTTTAGTTTGTTTTTTGCAGAGAACACATGTGGCTGTTCTCAGGGCTTACTCCTGCTTTCTTCCTGGGTCTAGGCCTTGTGCAAGTGATGAAGTATCCAACATATAGCTTCTGCTCCGTGAGTTTGTCTAAATAAGTAGAAAAAAGTTTCCCTGTTCATTGAGTCCTTTAACATCCCACAAGTAGCTCTTTGGGGACAAAATTAATTATCCTCAAGATTTGTTTTTTTCGCCTCTAAACAGGCTGATCCATTTATCTTCTTCTTTGTGTGAGAGGGCAATTAGCCATTCCTGTGTTCCCTGGATACCAGAGGCCACTTTAGTTAAAGACCTTGTCAAGAAGCCATGCAAAGGGTTAACCTTCCAGATGGAATGTAAACCTACTCGTCCTTTTAATATTTCATTCCTAGCTCCCCACAGCTGAGGCATAAGCTTGGCTTGTTTTAATTAAATTAGATCACATAAGACAGGTGTCTTGGCAGTAAAATTGTGCACAGCCCATTTTTATCTCATTAACTGCAGTGCTCATCAACGGTTTGTGTTTTCCTTTCTGAAAACTCTAGGTAAACCAGTAATGATCATAACAGAATACATGGAGAATGGCTCCCTGGATGCATTCCTCAGGGTAGGTGACTTTTTTCTTATATTAAACCTAAGAATGCTGGTGGTTAGAAAGCTCTAACAGACTAATTGTATTCATTCCAGTGGGTTGTATGCATGAACTTCTGTTAACGGGTCAAAGGAAGAAGAGGCAAACTAAAGAATGATGAGATTTTTTTAAAAGACTATTCAGTAAGACATGTTCATTAAGGATACTATTAAATTTTTTCTTAGATTGTGGGGCTGAGTCATAGGTTCATTACAGTTGGGTAATATCCATCTATGACAGGTTACAAATCCTTGCTCCTAGAATACACCTTATTAGTGAATTAGTGACTTTGGTCAGAAAGGATTGGAAATAATATGGAATATGGAGTTTGATTTTCTGCCAGTTATAGATATCAGAAGACAGGCGATTGAGCAGAGGTGGGGATGGAATGCGGGAACACTGGTAGAGAGAAGTTGACACTGGTGATAGGGTTGGTGTTGAACTATTATATGCCCGAAACTCAACTATCAATAATTTTGTAAATCACAGTTCTTTAATTAAATAAAAAAAAGTTTAAAGCGGTCCTCGTCATGGGTGTATTGTGATGGTGAACTATGCCTAATATCCCAATAAGCTGATTCCTTATTTCTGTCGTCTGCAGAAGAACGATGGCAGGTTCACAGTTATTCAGCTTGTGGGCATGCTTCGTGGCATTGCATCTGGGATGAAGTACTTATCTGATATGAGCTATGTACATCGAGACTTGGCTGCAAGGAACATTCTGGTTAATAGCAACTTGGTCTGCAAAGTGTCTGATTTTGGCATGTCCCGAGTGCTTGAGGATGATCCAGAAGCAGCTTACACCACCAGGGTAAGGAAGATTTCTGTCTTCTGGACTTTGAAGCTTTCTATTCTTTTCCCACTGTATGAAATCTTTGTGGTCTTACAAATGCCTGCTTCTTTCAGTGCCTCTGTCAGTGCCTTGCATGTTCTTATAAAACATATTTTAAAAAAGAGTGATTTAAAGCGGTCTGTAGGTGTGGAAGTGGTTTACAAAGCAATAATTATATCTTTCCTTGTATTTTTTCCACACTTAAGCTTTCTTTGTTTTTCTCTTTTCTCCTTTTTATTCACTGCCTCCCTCCCTCCCTCCCTCCCTCCCTCCCTCCCTCCCTCCCTCTCTCCCTCCCTCCTTCCCTCCTTCCTTCCTTCTTTCCTTCCTTTTTTCTTCCTTCCTCCCTCTCTCCCTTCCTTCCTCTCTCTCTTTCTCCCTCCCTCCCTCCCTCCCTCCCTCCCTCCCTCCCTCCCTCCCTTCCTTCCTTCCTTCCTCTCTCTCTTCCTCCCTCCCTCCCTCCCTCCCTCCCTCCCTCCCTCCCTTCCTCACTTCCTTCCTCTCTCTCTTCCTCCCTCCCTCCCTCCCTCCCTCCCTTCCTTCCTTCTTTCCTTACTTTCTCCCTTCCTCTCCTCCTACCTTCCTTACTTTTAGATTTTTATTGGAATCTTTGCTATTATTGGGAAATCTTATTTTAGGAGCCAAAGTTATAGTACAGTGGGTAGGGTATTTGACTTGCACCTGGTCTATTCACATTTGATCCCCAGCATCCCATATGGTCCCTCACAGGTTGCAGAGTAACTATTCAATGCAGCATAATTCCTCAGCATTACTGGGTGTGACCCAAACAGCAAAAATATATATGTATTATTTTTTAAAAATTTTATATTAAACAAGACAGTACAAGTTTCTTCTTGGTTTTATGAATATGAATATGATAATTCATAAGCAGGATATATAAAGCCTTTTACAGTATGGAAGGTCTAGTATATATGACCATGGTTTTACTACTGGAAGATAAGCTGAAATTAGAACACCATTTAAAGTTATCAGTATACAGTTAATGTCTAGGTTATCTTAGCTGGACAATTGGATATAAGATAGTAATGGATGAAACACAGAATCATAAAAGTTATTGGCTATTGGGACTGACACTTAAAATCAACAAGAACCAGACAGCCCCCAGAATCTTACTCCTTCATCCACTGTTATCTGGTAGACTGTGCATCTGGTAGACTAAGCACTGGGGATTTCCTGTTTGGTTGGTTGGTGGAGTTCTTCCTGAGTGTTCAGATTCTTTGGCTTTGTTTTTTGGATACTTACACATATCCTCTCTTGAATTCCAAGCCCATTTAGGGGAAAATACACCTTTGTGAATGCTAAAGATCTTTTATTTTTTTCCCAGGAGTTGAAGAGAGGACAGTTAAAGGAGGCCTCTAAAATGACATATTTACATAGATAAAACCTTAGTCAAATATTTAAAGAAGGCAGAAGGCAGCACAGGTGACCTTCTATATGTAATGAGTATGAATATAATACACTAGGTTTTACACCAGTTCACACAGAGAAAACTGCTGTGAGTCCCTGCGATTTCAAGTGCTAATTATTGTCCTATTTAATCACCTAATTGAAGCCAGGAAAACTTGAAAATGATGTTCTCCTAAATAGCATAAGAATCTGAATTCAAGTTGAATTCACTTTTCCCAGGTGCAATCCAAGAAAATTTGAGATGCAGTTAAAAACACCCTGCACATAAGCATATTTAAACAAGACATTTGAGGGGATGAATGGCATTTAAAATTTTTACAAATAACATTCAACTGCTTTACTATTTTTATAGGTTTTTCCCTTTCTAATTAAATAATATGTAAAATCCTGCCTTGAACTCATCAATCAGAAATGTCTCTAGCATCTGGATTTGTTTGTTTCCATTAATGAACTTTAAATACTAACTTTTAGTCATTTAGTGTATATTTCTTATGTTTTAGAAGAGTCCAGTGACTGTGTAATGGATAGAAGTATCTTTGGGGAAGGAATGGACTTGCACCACACCTAGCAATGCTCAGAGCTTACTCTTAGCTCTAATTTTGGGAGAGAATTTTCAGTGTTGGGGATTGAACTGGGCTCAGCCACAGGCAAGACAAGTGCCTTAACCTCTGCTATCTTTCCAGCCTTATGCATTTATATATTTAGCACCCTTAGCTCATAATCTTAGAAGCTGTATTAGTATTGCATTTGTGGGCAAAAAAAACCCCAACAAGATGTAAAAATTATTATCTACTGCACATCCATTAATAGACTATGGATAAAAGCCATTCCATGTAACTACTGAGATTCACTTTCTTTTCAACATACCCTTAAATAGTATTGATAATAGATGTGCTTTTAAAAAATAATTGAAGGCATTACTGGTCCACTTTCCTGTAACTAAACAAAACATATGAGAAGAACCCTCTCAACCTGGAAGACTTTAATGTAACATAAACAGGTCTCTTATTATTGTTTGAAGGGCTGTCGCAGGGATGTAGTTGTTCTGCTTGGCAAATAGTGACAACATTCGGTATCGAAAATGGCACATCACTAATGTACTTAGCGGATAACTTATGGCTTGAATGTTCACAGGGTGGCAAGATTCCTATCCGGTGGACTGCGCCAGAAGCCATTGCCTATCGTAAATTCACATCAGCAAGTGATGTATGGAGTTATGGCATCGTTATGTGGGAAGTGATGTCGTATGGAGAGAGACCCTACTGGGATATGTCCAATCAAGATGTGAGTCTTTGTGATCTGAATTATGATTTTTACATTGAGATTCAGGAAGTTTTGTGTCATAGTGTATGATATAGTAGTCACGAGCTGGAAGGGATGTGTTAATCTCAAGATTCTTGGACAAATGTGTCTGGCAACCTAGGTAAACCTTAAGGTTTTGAATTTCAAGGACCAAGATTACATAGCTGAAATCATTTATTATTGGAAGATGGACGCATAGGGTTATAGATTACTGATTTGGAAAAGCATATTTTACTTGGTTCTCTTTCAAACCCAATACTGGGACTAAACTAAATTCTGAATTTTAAGAAGGCACATGGATAAGTGAAAAATAAATTTCATGTGTGATACTATTGACATGAAAGGTTTATTGGAGGAAAATGAGTGAATATTTAAAAGCTGGCATAGTTGTAATTAGAGCTTGCCCCTTGAGGACTTTAAAATAAAGCTTCACTAAATGACCCTTTGTAAATTATGCACATCCCTTTAATGTACCATCTGGACTACTTCGTAAAGGAGTATCCACAATGCCTGCAATTTTAGAAAAGCATTCAATAATGACACTAATAAGATTCCAGAGTAATAGAATTTAATTACAAACATATTCAGTGAGAAGGAAAGAAGATGAAGAAAACAAAACACTAGGCCAGAGGTCTTCCTAGAACACATATTAGCCAATTTTGTGAAAGGTTTTACGTCTAAAATGTCTGAGAATCAGATTAAGATGAATGGCTACTTTTTGAACTTCTGTTTTTATTTGATGTGTGAGATACATAGGATCTTGTTTATAAATGTCTGTTATGATATAGTATGTCCCAAAACTATATTTTTGAAAAACTCTTCTTTTAAAGTAATTTTCTGATATAAAACACCATCAGGCTATCTTGTCTTGTTGTGAAATAAGAGTTGACAATTTCACAAAGAACCTAGCTACACTAAGAAATATGTACCTTATCAGTCAAAGAATGTTCGGAACAATCAAGAAGTTTGTGTGTTCTGGATTGAGTGGGACAAAAGGAATTCTGTAGTCATATTAAGAGAAATGGTTGTGTTGACAGTCTATCATCTACAAATTATAAAGGAAGGTTCATAGCATATGGGAAGAAAGATAGCAGTGAAGATAACTGATAGATAATTACAGGCTAGAGAGGAACTAGAGGGGTGAAGGTGTGTTTTGGATTGTTTGGTGTGGTTATGTCATGCAGAAATCTTTAAATAGCGTCTTAGAGCAACATTTGGTTAAAACTTAAGGGGGAGAAAGAAAAATGACCTAAAAGAGCAAGTATACATGCATTCACTTTTTTAATGATTTGGTCATTAAGTTTCCCTTTATTTCAGCTCAGAGCCATGACCAAATATTCACAAGCAGAAACATAAAGTTGTCAATTTTTCTACCCTGCTTTCAAACCTATTGCTTTTTCCATTTCTATTTTTATATTAAAACATGTACTATGTTTTCAAACTTCCATTTTTCTGCCTTTCTCCATGCATCACCCACCTCCCCCTTCCAAAAAAAGGCATCTGAAGTCATTTCTCTCCCACAAATAATATTGATCTGTCTTTCACATGCATTTGTCTCTGTGCTGGATTCTGTGTAGAACAGGGATCAATAGGAAATGTTACTGGAGAATTTTTTTCATGAGCTGCATTCATTTGGCATATGGTAAAAGGAGTTAACATAACTGCTGAAAATATGTCAAACTTAACAAGTTTTCTTTGTTTCTTGTCATCTCCTGCCTCAACTCCCTCCACCCTCCAAACATCCCTCTAAAACTGAGAAAATATGCTTTATTAAACCACAAACTTCCTTCCAAATAGGCATTACAAAGCTGGATAGGGAAGCTAAGGGAAGTATTCAATGTTCTCAGAAATGAGAGTAATTTTTTTGCTACCCTCACATCAGCCCAGTTTGCTTGCATTATCAGTTCATTGAAAACTCTTCTCAGCAGGTTTAGAACCAACATAATACACCTGAAGGATGAGACAAGAGAGAATCAAAACTGACTCATATAATGACTAGAAATAAATAATGTTCAGTGAGGTAACATGGAGAAGTCTGCTTTAGAAGAAATAGAAAAAAGTAAAATAGCTGACTACTGGCAGAAACACATAGATAAAAGAGGGTTAGAAGCTTTAATAAATCACAAGATGATGGAAATGAGTTCAACGTGATGCTTAAATGAGAAGTGATTTAATAGTGCCCAGCTAAATGGACATCTTTTCTGGGGAAGGCCACTATCCTGCTTGTTTTACACCCAGCTCTCATTTGGCCACAAAAAGGGAAAAAAGAAGAAAAGATTGATGTAAACAATAAAAATGCTTTTTTAACCCACAAAAATAAGAGCATTCCCTAGGATATATGCCCATAAACAAAGCCTATCAAGAGCCAGAAACAATGAAGTAAATTCCCTCTTTCGATTTGCTGTGACTCATGCCACAGTGCTTTACTGGGATTCACGCCCTGAAGTAGGAGGTTTTTAAGAAAAGCCAAGAAGAAAATACTGCAACACCAGTAAAGATAGATTTTGAAAGTTAGTTTTAGAAAAAAAGACGATTGAAGGATTTATTTCTGTCTTATTAGTCAGGGAGACCTCTGTGGGCAATGGGACAATTATCATCTACCATAGAACTTCTTTCCTTAGATGTATAAGTGCCTCCTTTCAGATGTAAATATTAGCTTTGGGTGTTACTCAGGGGTAGGGCACATGCCTTGCATGAGTAAGGTCCTGGGTTTCATTCTGGCACAGCAAGAACAAGAACAATGCACGAAAAGATCAAGAAAAATTGCTAAGAATTTTCTGAAATCTACTTACACCTTTAACAAGGACAACTAGCAACCAGTTAAGACCAAGATAGAGATACAGACATGCCTTTGCTCTTCCCAAATATTGTTGTTTTTTTTTTTTTAGATTTTTGTTTTTATTTATTTATTTATTTATTTATTTATAATTAGTGAAACACCGTGAGGTACAATTTTAGACTTACAAACTTTCATGCTTGGGTTTCAGTTATACAATGATTGAGTACACACTCCACCAGTGCCCATTCTCCACCACCAATGATCCCAGTAGCCCTCCCAGCCCCCACCCCACCTCACCCCGCCTTTGTGGTAGGGCGTTCCCTTTGCTCTCTCTTTCCTTTAGGGTGTTGTGGTTTGCAATAGAGGTATTGAGTGGCCATCGTGTTCAGTTTATAGTCTACTTTCAGCATGCATCTCGCATCCCGAGTGAGTCCTCCAAACACCCTTTACTTGGTGCTCCCTTCTCTATCTGAGCTGCCTTTTCCTCTAGCATGTGCTGCCGGCTTCCAAGCTGTGGAGCAGACCTCCTGGTACTTATCTCAACTATTCTTGGGTGTTTGTCTCCCATTCTCTTACTTTATATTCCCCAGATGAGTGCAGTCCTTCTATGTCTGTCCCTCTTTTTCTGGCTCATTTCACTTAGCATGATACTTTCCATGTAGAACCACTTGTATGGAAGTTTCATGACTTCAGCTTTTCTAACAGCTGCATAATATTCCATTGGGTAGATGTAGCAAAGTTTCTTTAACCAGTCATCGGTTCTCTGGCACTCGGTTTTTTCCCCAAATTTTGGCTATTGTAAACAGTGTAGCAATGAACTTACAAGTGCAGATGTCATTTCGACTGTATTTTTTTTGCCTCTCTGGGATATATTCCCAGGAGTGGTATTGCTGGGTCAAATGGGAGCTCAAGTTCTAATTTTTTGAGGATCATCCATACTGTTTTCCAAAAGGGCTGAACCAGTCGGCATTCCCACCAGCGGTGAAGGAGGGTCCCTTTCTCGCCACATCTGCACCAACACCAACACCAGTTGATTTTGTTCTTTTGGATGTGGGCCAGACTCTGTGGTGTGAGATGGTATCTCATTGTTGGTTCGATCTGCCTCTCCCTGATGATTAGTGATGTAGCCTGAATTTCTGGCAGGGCTGAGCAGACAGAAGTAGATATTTGTGGATTGGGATGACTGAAAGCTGGCTCTGGTACTCACTGATAAATGGTCTGAGCAAGAGGACATGGACTTGAAATGATGTAGAGTTGTTTCTATTTGGAGTCAACTATTAGCTATTTCCTAAGAAGGGCTTCAGCACTAACAGTGTCTTTGGCTCAGAGGTTTAGCTACTAATGGTAGCAGACTGGGCAGGGACATTGTCATGGAATCTCAAGATACTGTGAATGTACCATGTTGTAGATCTGCTTGCGTGTTCCACTTTCAAACATGGATGCATCAGATCATGGCCTTCCATTTGCAAATATTTCCTAGCAGCAGCAGCTGGCTTCCCTCCCCCTCTGCCAGCGATATTTAGGGCCAGCTTTGACATCTGAGATGGAATTGGAGCTGGTCCCATACCCGGGCTAGCTGGCAGCGTGATGTACAGGGAATGTGCACTCAGAGGGGTTAAACCTCTCACAACAGCTTGTCTGGCAGCTTAGCATACCACTCTGTTTTCTTCCATAGGTGATTAAAGCCATCGAGGAAGGCTATAGACTACCCCCGCCAATGGACTGCCCCATTGCACTCCACCAGCTGATGCTAGACTGCTGGCAGAAGGAGAGAAGCGACAGGCCCAAATTTGGGCAGATTGTCAACATGTTGGACAAACTCATCCGCAATCCCAACAGCTTGAAGAGGACAGGGACCGAGAGCTCCAGGTCAGCCATGCTTACTTAAATGATGACGGATTGAAAAGAACATGCGTGGGGCATACATGAGAGGGGAGTCATTTTCATCCCTGTTCTTTTTGTCAGCTCTCTGTAATTGGGTGGCGTCTTTCTGAATTCACGGAGTACTTTGGAGAATTCTATTCACCGTTTTGAACAGTCGAATGCCCACCAAGCTTTGAATGCTAGTAAAGAAAAAATAATTTTTTTTCCAACAGCAACAAAGAAATAACCAAATTGCTTACTTTATGATGAGAGCCCTGGACTTTTAGAAAAGGGCTAAAATGTCCTTTGGGAAGAAGTTCGGGGTTAGGAGAAGCTAATGTAAAAATGGGAAAGGTTAGTTGGTTAGTAAGAAAGGAGGGTTAGAGAACAATGCTATACACACTGCAATTTTAAGCATCCATGTCATAGTTTAATTGGTACCAAGAGTGTCATCAGGTTTCAGTTCTGGACACAAAATGTTTTTTGTTTTCTTTTCTGGAATTTTCAAGAGTGAAAGGAAATAGGTTATGGTGGAACCTGATTACTTGCAAGGTCTTCGGAGGAATGTTTAAAAAACCCAAAATGATAGAGCCACCTGTAAAGTGGTGATATTATGAGAAAGAGAAAAATGAAGATGTCCATTAGTCCAGATGGAAGATAAAGATGCCACAAACCCTATAATTCAATGGGAACTTTTCTTCCTACTTTGGATTCTACCAGTATAAATGTTAAGTTCCCTAGTCACCACTCCCATCTGAGAAGGCATCAAACATGCTTATCAGTTAAATTATTTAAGAAGACAGGTACAATAAGATCAAGTGAATCAAACCTGCTTGAGTGGAGGTATCTACTTGTCTCCAAATATTCACTCCTTAGAGACTTTTTTTTTAATTACCCTGAGTTATAAGAGGTCATTCTTTCAAAACCCTTCGAGACTTAAACAGTTTGATAATAGTCTACTCCAGTCCTTACCCTGAAAGATGCTAAGAAGGAACATGCACAAAAGAACTTGGAACAAATAGTTATATTGGTCCTCTTTGAGGTTAGCTAGCACTAAGACTCAGTTACACGCACACTAAAAAAAAGAGCTTTTTATTGGTGAACTTATCTTGAAATAACATTGGTCTGAATTTGCAATTCATGCTTTAAAAAAAAGGAAAAGAAAAAAAAACACCCCACACTACAAAAACCTCCCTCTTTTAGCTGAGGGTCCTAAGACCTGTTTGGTACTTCTCTGGCTAGAATGAAGTTTTCAGCTATCACATGGGTTTTGCACAGAACTGCAGAACAAATTGAACTATTGGATACACTTCTCTCCACTCTAAATTTTTCTCACTGATGCTACTATAGTAACTTTCCTACTTATTACTGCTCTCTGATAATAAGGTGTAGCACAACAGGGTCTGCAGTTCAACACAGAATTAAGGAAATGTCAGGGTGTTCCATAAAGAGCACAAAGACCAGAGCAAGCTAGTGAATGCCCCTTAGAGTTAATTGATTTCCAGTGAGGATACTTTCTTCCTAAGGTCATCTTCGTCTTTTCAAGAACCTAGAGCCAACATGTTGCCTTATGTTCTGGCTTATAGTTCAAAATTTACGCAAGCTATCAGCCTTTGGCTAATGTACACAATATTGGAAAACATCTAACACTAAATTAATGTCTAAAATTTCTGTGATGATATTTATAATTTACTTAAAACTGGGGGAAACAATACATTTTGAGTGTTCTTGCTATTAAAAAAATCTACAGAAAATGTTACTCAAAAAGTGGATATTTTTGAAATGATGGGCAAAAAAAATGACATAGGCCAGCTATTCTGTCATAAAATTGATCAAATTAGCCTGTGTTAAAATATGTATACAAAAAAAGTAATTTCAGACAAAATAAATTGGGTAAAAACAATGAAAGCGGAAAAAAGGAATTGGATTGCTTTTGCTAGATAAAAACATTATCAAGTCACATTAAATTTGATTTTTACAAGAAAATAATTTATTTCCATTGAAAATTATGATGTTATAGTTATGATTTTATTGCTTGCAGCAAGCAACATAATCCCAAAATGACAGTTTGGTTAAAATGTGAAGATTATGCACGTTCTGTCATTTTTAGGGAACAAGAAAGTTTCATAAAATATAAATAAGTAGTAAGGCAGATATCTGGGTAATAATGGTAAGGGTGCCATAAAGTACCCGTGAAGGTCTATTCTATTGTTATTTAGTTTCTTGCCGATGAAAATGATCATAATTCTCCTAATACCCTCCTTCAGTGATTTGTTGTGTGTCAGATATAACGAGGAATGACAGCATTTCTGCCTTCTACTGTAATCATTCTTCACAATGACCTAATGCATAGCACCTGGTCTGAGAACTTGCGTAAACTAATAAATACGTTAATAAGAAGTGCTTAGAATCTGTTGAAATGATTATTCAGGAGCCCCAGCAAGGAAATAGGAGAAGCACATTCCACAATCCAAACAGTGATCAAAGTGGCCATTCTTCCTGGCCTCCTGGCACACGTGCTGGTCTGGCCTGGGTTGATTAAAGAGGGGATTAACTCCCTGCTGTCCCCAGTTTGTCTGAATGCACTGAGCCTGCCTACAAACCTGGCTCAAAGTATGCTGGACTTGAACTCTTGCTGTTTTCTCTGTTTCTATCAAGGCTGGCAGCTTGCACGCTCACAGATTTTTCTTCCTCATTCATCACTAGGGTTTCCATAGCTGCTGAACTAACGTCTGCAACATTTGGTGCTGGCAGGGATTGGATTCTTTTCTGCAAAGACCAAACAAGTTGCAGCTATAAGAGCTCCCCAATCTTTACCCCAGGGTAGGAGGTTAAAAGGATCTGCTCCACTCTCGAATGTACTAAGTGATCCCCAAGGAAGCACATGTGCAGTAGAATTAAGGATAATTTTTTCATATTATTGGGTGGGGCCCAGGGATATGACTCAATTGATAGTCAGTGAATTCAATTGAGTTCAATTCTTGACCCAGCCGCCATCTTGCTAAATGCAATTCCCACCACGACCAGTGTGTTTCAACAACAATGATGGCAACAACTGAGGGAAGCAAAGGGAAAAAAGAAAGGTATAAAATTAAAGTCAATGATACCTATGTTTTCTGCTTTGTGAAATTAGGAGCCACGAGATGATGAGGTGCTCTGTGCAGATGGAGATTTCATTTGATGCTTGCAGGGAGTAGATCAACCTCCCCTGAGTCCTGAGCTTTTTTGCCAATGTCCCTGATGAGTCTCTTCTGTCTCCGTTCTCTCATTCCATTTGCAGACCTAACACTGCCTTGTTGGACCCGAGCTCCCCTGAATTCTCTGCTGTGGTATCTGTGGGTGATTGGCTCCATGCCATTAAAATGGATCGATATAAGGACAACTTCACGGCTGCTGGTTATACCACACTAGAGGCTGTAGTGCACATGAACCAGGAGTAAGTACTCAGCGATATAACACGAAAGGGTAAATCTAGATTTAATAGTATTTTCCCTTTTTTTTTTTTGCTTTGAGCTGCATAATCATCCTACTCATTAAATTTTAAAAAAAAAGTACACACACGGAATGCCTTTCATTTTGATTGAGTATAATTTTACACAGCCTCTTAAAGCACCTACATTGTTGCATTCAATGGCTTAATTAAACATTTTATTACACCTGCCTTGTTGTGCTCTATTAATTGTGGCTGATTCAACTGTGTGCATGCATGCAGCCCCAAGAAACTCTCAGCCCCTGTGACTTGTTCTCTCCCTCCTCTTTCTTCTTTCCTCTCCCCCTGTCTGCAGTGACCTGGCTAGAATTGGCATCACCTCTGTGACTCACCAGAATAAGATTTTGAGCAGTATTCAGGCGATGAGAACCCAGATGCAACAGATCCATGGCAGAATGGTTCCTGTCTGAGCCAAGACTGACTAAACTCAAAACTCTTGAAATTAGTTTACCTCATCCATGCACTTTAATTGAAGAACTGCACTTTTTTTACTTCGTCTTCGCCCTCTGAAGTGAAAGAACACAAACAAACAAAATCTGCCAGCGTCGTTCGGTGTACAGATGGCTGATAGGTGGTGGGGCTCACAGCTCTGATGACCATCATTTGCATCCGACCTGGAAGAAGTTGTTTCTCAGAAGTCCTTCCATCCATTGCCGTTTGTAAGATACATGTACCTATATAAATAGAACATCGCCTCCGAGTTGTAATGCCATCTTTGCCACCAGACCTGGGCTTCTCTGAGACATCTTGGGATCCTTTCTCCATTCGGAATTACAACATCACATTTTGTTTGTGGCATTACATTACAGTCACCCTTCTTTCACTGGAATGAAGATCATGCCCAGCAACTTTGGGAAAGGACTCGGGGGGTGGATTTAAAAGCTTGGAAGAGAGAAAAGAAAGAAAGAAACCCCATGCAGGGGACAAAAAGCCACCATCGAGTGAAAGCCACCTCCACATTCCTCCTCAGTGTTGCTCCTTCAGTACTCAGGTCACCTGGTGGAGGACGATGACGTGAGGGTCTGAAAAGCAAAGAAAAGTGGATTTAATAATAACAATAATAATTATAATAATAATAATAATAATTATCCAGCACCATACTCCCTTATGGACAAAGGAGGTCTGTTTCTTTGGGCCTGGCTGTGCCATGTAAGCCTTCTTTAGAGACTTTACAAACTTATCATAACTCCCTTATGGATAGCAGACTCTGACAATCTGGAGTAGGGATGCTCAGACTTCCCTTCTTCAAAGAAGCAACCCCAAATCTGCAAGGTAAGTCAAGAGCTGCAGCCAAGGGAGTGTGATCCAATGAAAACTTTAAGAATAAATAAAATATGAGCTTCTTTTAAGCATGAGTGTAAACATTCTTTCCTGTTTATCAGTGCTTTCAACATTTCAATCATCTCTTGAGAGAGGACCCCAAAATCAATATGGCTTCCCTGCTGTTTTTCCCAGATCCTGCTGGGGAGAAAGAGAAGTGTGGTCTGAGGGGGTCAGTTTTGGAGAATGGCATGTAGACCTCATGCTTTTCCTCACACAGGGTTCCTCTTGCTCTTAGGTATCACTCACTATGCAAATACTGATTGGGAATCTTCTGGGTACCAGGAGTAGTTCTAATGGAATCAGGCATATCAATACCTTTTCCCTTTATGGGGTCAGCCAGGAAGAAATCGTGGAGATATCACTGTTAAGACTTGCCACTCGCCTTGACTACTTTGCTTTTAAAAGACGTAACCTACTGAAAAGAGCTTTATACCTAGAAGGCCCTTAGCTGCATCTAATTTAACCTTGAAACTTTCCTTCTTGAAACAAATAAATTAAACGGTTTTGCTCATTCCTAAAAGCTAATGGTCTAACTTTCTTTGACTGGACAAATTTTATCTTCTCAAACTCTTCCATTTGTATCACTTTTAAACAAGAGTTTGGCTGATTTTAATGACCTTTTTTTCCCCTTTGGTTTTTATTCCAGAAAGCTATTTCTTATAGAGCAAAGAATGTTAAATTCGATGCTGTCAAATCATGACAGTTTAGTAAAAACCTTTTTGCGATGTTAGTTGTAAAAGCTTTTCTGTTCAGAAGGAAAGTGGAATTTGTTTTTGAACCTACTTCAACAATTTCTGTTTTAACACCACTTTTTCTGAATTCTGAGAGTTCTGGATATTCATGTTAAAAGTTAACAGTTTATGTTAGTTTTGTTGCATAAGTTTACAAAATATGTATTTTTTTGTTCAGCAAAAACTCTGCATGGATTTTTTTTTTCCATCTCACAATCTAAATAAGATACTAGGATGAAATTGCCTTATATGTAGCCGGCAAATTGGTTGGCAGGAATTGAATAAAGTCTTCCTTTTTTTACACTCAACAACTTATGACTTATTTTCCTAAATATTTAATATATTCAAAGCATTTTCAAAGAGAGGGCCAGTCAGTGCTAAAATATTTCAGCAAATTGATATTATATACATGCTGGAATCTTTCATCTGTAGCTCTATAAATGAAGTTGGGAGGGATTCAAGGAAAAACAGAATATAAAATCTTATTGTATTTAAATCTTGATTTCCCTCTAAATTTTTGAGAGTCCAAGTCAAGGAAAAGGCCAAAAAAAATAGAAGGCAAAAACCTTTCTCCGTGTCTACAATAATACCTAATAGTATCAAAAGTGTTTGCTGCCATGAAGTTCTGCATTTTAGAGGAGAAATGCAAGGACATAGGAGTGTTCCATCATTTCTCAAGATACAGAACCAGACCTGCATCCATCCTGAGATGGATTCTCAAGCCATTTGAGATGTTGAGAAACAAACACCCTCCATGTTTCTTTAGAACTAAGTTCCTCCATCTGGAAATTACAGATAATGAAATTTTAATAATAACACCTTTCCTAATAATGCATGGTGTTGTTTTATGTGTCTGAGAAATCCTTGTGTAGAAAATGTTGAACTTCCCAGACAAAAGGTTGTGCTTTTCCCACTAACCCTCCTGTTCCCCAAGTCTTATTCCTCCACTTGTGAACCCAAATGTTTTATTGAGACATGCCAGAGTGAGGTGAAATGAAGTTCAGTGCTGAGAAGCCTCATAGAGGAAGTTTCTAAATGGATGGCTAAGGGCTTAGGAGTCAATTCTACCTACAAAAAGTGGCAGACCCTACGGATAACTATAAACTATTATTTATTCTTGCAATTAGTAAAATTGTTTTAAAATCATAAAGAATGAGACACACAAGGAGGGGACCCTATTGCGAGCAGAGGAACTGACTGGCAAAGCCCCTTTGATGTCTTTATGACCGCCTCTAGAGAACATTGGTTTGTTTATTTAGTCACAATGGAAGTCGCTGCTCTCGCTCATGGCCCCCGTATAAACCACATACTTTGTCTGGTCTCTGTTCAAGAATTCCCCATGATAAAGGAGTTGCTGAATTCAAAGGAGACATGGTTTATTTTTCTCTACACTTTTATTCTGGCCCTAACTGGATACAAGCTTTCACATTTCCATACTTCTCCCTACAAACATACCGATGTTTTTTTACCTATACACTCAGTCCCCAAATTGCCTTTTTTAGTATTAGAAATATATTTATATTACTATTTATATCCAGATATTTAGTGAAGAAGGGGTTGGAAGAAAGAAAGGTGGTACTCTGAGACTTTTCTAAGCAAGTTTCAAGTAACCAAAGAAAATCACCATGAAAAAGTTGCATTTGATGTTGGTGGTCTTTGTCCTGCTTCTTGAAGTCATATTTTCACTTATCCACATTCTTCTCTTGAATCATAGAAATGCATGCCTATGTAACAAAATCTCACCATGTTCAGGATTCAGAAATGACCTTTAGTAAACTTAGTGATTTCCAGAGAAGAATTTTTGGAGAAATATATCCAAAATCTTTTCTTGTGTATTTTGAATAACTGTCAAATGAATAGTATTGATGAATTGTTTCTGAAAGACCTTGTAGTTATATTTTTTACCCATGTTTAATTGCTTTTTTTTTTGTGGAGGGGGCACATTCAGCAGTGTTCAGGGATTACTCCTGGTAGCCTTGAGGGACCTATATGTGATGCCAGGGATGAAAATAGGTTGACTGTGTGCAAGGCAAGCCCCTATCCACAGTACTATTGCTTCGGCTTTATATTTAAAATATTTTAATTGTGTCATTCTTTAAACAATATTATCCCCATAAAACATACACAAATTGTTGAAATTTTTAAGGTAATTTTTATCTGGATGATTACAAAATTACAAATAAATTATTGCTAACTCTCCAGATATACTAAAATGGGTGGAGTGTTTTTACCATTTGTTTCAAAGAAACTAAATTGCACTTACCGTCTTCATTCAATAAATAATCATGCACATACACAAAACAAGAAAACATGCAATCAGTTTGGTAAAAATAGGTACAGCTGTCTGTAAAAGTGCATTCTGGTTTTAATCCTGGTCTCTGACTTGTCACTAAACACAGCCAAGGGACATGCATGTGTAGTCAAGAAGTAACCTTGATTCTCTATTGCCACAAATGAAAGATGAGCAAACTTGCTTCTCTTAATTTGAGCTTCATATCTGAAGGCAAGGGGCATGTTGATTCCTCTGCATTGTGTCAACTCAGCCCTGTTCACTTTTGAGGCTGATGGTGTAGCCATGTCTGATTACTTCTTGGGGTGCTGCAGGAGATCCTGAAATTCCAGGATGTCCCTCATTAGCATCTATCACTATGCTCTTGGCCCAGATCCCCTCTCTCTGCCTCTGCTTAGATGCTTTACTGAGATATGCCTATTCATTGTCATTGAAAGGACTTTTCTCTGAAGTTCCACTGCTTCCCGCCACCACCTCCCATCCCCCATGCTTTTTTATTATTATTTTTTTTTTGTTTTGTACTTTTCAACTATTCATGTTGAAGTCTGATGATTTATGATGTTTCCAGATTTGTTCCTAAGATAGGCAATTTCCTTCTTTGGGAAGCTTGCCACCCAGTAGCTGGGACTTTGTCAATAGTACAATCTGCCTGTTGCACCCTCTCTCCTCTTACACAACAGAACCAAGGCAGCATTTTCCTTGTGAAGAGGGCTACCCGCATCATAGTTAAAGCATGGCTATCAGTAGATAGAGGAGGATATTGGAATGCCAGCTTTGCTGCTTCAGAATGGATAACCACGGGAGGTGTACTTAACCTCTCTCTCCTTCTATGTCCTCAATCATATCCTGAGGACGAGAATAGGAACAGCCTCAAAATTGTTATAATTAAACTCTCCAGAGCTTTTTTGTTCTTGTTGTTATAGTTGTCATTTTTGAGCAGAGCAAAGTAACGGATTCACCGTCTTTATCCCATAGTGCTTCTTCTGAACTTAAGTCCCCTCCTTGTACTCATATTCTTTCTCGGAATATTTGCAAACAGTTTATGTTTTGTCTCAAGTCTTGTTCTTTTCTCGACAGGGAGTAGATTCTGCTATCTTGGCCTCACAGCCCTTCCTGTTGATTACAAAGCCCAGAGATGAAAACAGAACACGCCCTCCTCCGTTCCTTCTAACTGGGATCCTTCTGCTCCGTGACTCTGCCCGTGCTGGACCCAAGACATTGATGAAACAAGACCCAGACCTGAAAGGAATCAAGATGTGACTTTCTGAGCTCGGTTCCCCGTGAAAGAAACAGCCAACGTTCACTCTTCAGCATCAGTTCTCCAGTCGCACTGAGGAACACCCCTCTGGGCAGCGCCATCCCCACCGAGCCCTTGTTCCCATACTCCTTGTGGTTTTATTTATATGTGTTTCCATAGCTCCTTCCTGAACGTCACTGCTGCATCGGTATGGCAGCCAGTGACCAAAGACTACAGATTTTCCTATGGACGCCAGGTCAGGTGCGACCACAGAAGCAAAGCCAGTTCCCGTGAGCTGCCTCTGATATGC